TAAAGAAACATAACTGAATCCAAAGATCCATCTTCTCCGCTTCTTTTTTGCACTCTGTCTTGTAATTTCACCAATCTTACCTATGTGGCATATCAATTGTTTCACTAGTAAGGCAAAGTACACATGAGAGTTCAGAAGTTTTAGACTGACTAAAAATCCAAACGAACACCTTTCATCCATATAGGTAAATAATATGCCATAACCTTAGGTTAGTCATTAACCATTAGGCTATCTAATTAATTGCATCCATCTTGACTTTAAAATCAAATTCGCAGCCATGAATAGACCCTTATGTGCACTGTTAGACTGGCCTAATATTTACAGTTCAGATAGTGTCAAAAGTCAAAAGCGCCGGCTCTCCTTCCAAAGACAACTGCAGAGAAAATTTAATTTACTGTACGTACAGAGAGGGAGATGATGGGTAGAAGGAAACCTTACTTCCTCTGTGTTTGTGTTTATGCCAACACCGATTACCTGCCCAATATGTGATCACCACGCCTGCACACTAGACGAGAAGACAATTAGAGCAGCAAAGATATTTAATTCAAAAAGAGAGGGAGGAAGGTGTAGGGATAGGAAGGGGAGAACGATCTGTTTCCTCTATTTTTGCCTTCACGGCAAAACACCCTTTATATGTCGTTGATTGAATCTCTGAGGTTTACGACCATGGCAGCATACCAGCACAACAGAGAAGCAAAATAGATTGAATCGGAGGAGGAAGAAAAGCTTTCAGGAAGGAACAGTTTAGAGGCCGTGATTTTAGGGGCTAGTGGCGTAGAGATTGGATTGGACGTGGCTGCATAGGAGAAGGATTTCTGTTCGCGCGCCAAGATTTCCGCCGTCCAACAAAATTCGTGACTCCATCTCTTGTTCCCGCGGGGATAGCTTTATATCCGAAATTATCCCCATTTATATTATCCAAATCATATAGCACTTTATATATTTATCGTTGGCTGTAATTAGATTTGGGTTGTAGTCCTCCTGGTACTGTGCGCTCAAGGTTATATATGATTGCCTTGAGTTCAATACCAAGTTACTTTATTTTTTTTTTTCATTTTTCTAGACAAACTTAGATAGATGTTTAGGTTGAATCCTCTGTGCCTTGTTAAATTTTAGTAGAAGAAAGTCATTTTATAAATAGGGATCAAGATATGAGTATAAAAATTAAAATTAATAATCCCTCCTTTTTAAATTGTAAGTCGATCTGACTTTTCTAGATACATAGCTTCTATTACGTACCTAGATATAAATTATGTCTAGAAACATAGTAACGACTTACATTTTGGAATATAAAGAATACTATTTTCCATGTTCTTCTCTTTTAAATAGATTTAATTGGTATATATTATTAATATTATAAAGTTAATCCACCTTGTAAGCATTACGTGCTAATGGTACGCTGAATAAAATATTTTTCAGCTAAGACATACTCTAAGACCCCGTTTGGAACATGAAAAATTTTCATGTTTCCTTTTTATCTATAAAAATTAGTTAATTAATATGAAATTTATAATATTTCCTATAAAATTTCTGCTTGATGAAAATTAAAAGAATTTATTTTCCTTAAAATTATGCTCAAACGTGCAGTACATTCATCTTGCATGTTTTCTCCCACACCAAACTAATTTGATCTGTACATCCTCGCACAAAAAATTGATCCATATGTGTTTCAGCTACGTGCGCACCTAGTTTCGGAAACAACAGAAGATGGATTGAAAAAATAAAGTGGCGTAGGAGAAGGCGGGATCGCAGAATTTCCCGACGCAAACACGTACGATTAAAAAAGAGCGGCATGAGAGAGGCCGTGTCAAAGCTAGTTCCCCCTCATATTTCCTCAAATCCATTTCCCCCAAATTGAACGTGTCAAAGGAGTAGACTTACCACTAGATTATGTTGGATTTTATGTTGGTCCATGCATAGTAAAATCTTTATATTTAAATGAACTATTAATAAAATTAGGAAATGATAAAAAACAGACTAAGAAAGTGTAAAAATAGCTAAAAAAAGGAATTGGTTGGACTTGAACTAACGACCCTTCTTTCTTGAAAGGCTTGACTTACCAGTACACTATATTGGCATTTGAGAATGTTCATGCAAACAGGGTTCTTTGTATGTGAAATTAACTATTAAAACAATTGGAAAATAAAAAAGATAAAAAATTATGACTATGGAATTTGGAACTTAGACCCACCGCTCACGCACCAAGCATAGCTACCACCACACCATCTAGATGTTGGTGTTTACTTTCAGAGTAAATGTTTTGTATAATAAGTTAACCATGGAAATATAGTAAAATTCATATAATCATATCTAAATTGGATAGAAATTGTTCAAACTTGCATGCCAATATGTACTTTTTGTGTATAGTATTAAAAAAACAAATATAACAAAGCATATTACACACCTCACAAATGAATACATCTGGGAATGGGTGCTAGGGTTATGAACTTATAATCATGGAATCAACTTGATCATCAGATTATAAGTTCATTCCATACCGGACCAGATCGTGCACATTCTTAGCATAGTAATATGTAACTGTATGCGTCATGGAGATAGAAGAAAATTTCAATTGTTGTGTAGGGATCATTTGACCTTCTATCTCTAGGTTACCACAAAATAACTCTAATAATGCCTAAAAGTGGTCTAAAAATCTAGGAATTTGCATGGAATCATGTTTTTTTATGTATATGCTTGCTGTAAAATTTCAAATGATTTTAATAGAGGGAGCCTATACATCGTACACAAAATGGATACACTTTAAACCTAATTTAATGTAACTCAAGTCAAACTTTGAAGCTTGCACGCCTCACATCAAGTTTGAACTTGTATGAACCTCAAATTTTGACAAAACCTAACATTTACTACAAGTTAAGAAAATACGAGGTTTCAGAAATTTTGAAAATGATTCACTATTTTCTATAGTTTAAATGAATTTATGTGTGTCTACCTAAACAAATTCTAAAATGAACCGTGTGTACCCCTAATAAGGTTCAAAAAAAGTTACGTAGAAATATATTTGGTGTATAATTATTGAAAATTTTCAAATGATTTTAACAAGGTGGTACTACACATTATTTACAAATGGATACATCTCCCACATAGTAGAAGTAACATGTAAATGTGTGAGGGATGTGTCTATTTGTGAACAATATTGACTCCCACTTCATTAAACACAAACTAAAATCTTTATGGAAAGGTTATGGGTCCAAAATATGTTGTCATGCTAGCCGTAGAATTTCCTAACCATATTTAGATATTTTAGCAATTATTTTGTGGAATTACCATAGATAATCGTAGTAATATCTATATTTTCTTAGGAAATTCTGCAAACTTGTATATGAAATAGGATTATGGGGTACAATCATTCCAAAAAATTTCAAGCAATTGTAACAAAGACGTAGTAAGAGTAATATGTAATTGTGTGAGAGATCTGTCCATTTGTGAATAATATAGACTACCACTTTATTAAAATATAAAATTAATTTTTTGACAAAAAACTTATGGGCCTAAAATATGTTGCCATGCCCGTCCATAGAATTTCCTAACCATATTGAGATGTTATTATAATTATTTTGTGGAACTACAATAAAATGATCCTAATAATACCTACGTTTAATTAGAGGGCTTTTATGGGCAGATTTTATTTTCGCGGACATGAGTTTGGGATGGTAAAACCCAGCGGGTTTGTGCCGTTGCCATATCCGCTCCTTGTCACGTCGGCAGTGCTGTAAAAAACATACCGGTTGGGCAAAAAAAAGAAAAGGAGAAAAGAAAACTAAACAGGCCGTTCACTGGACACAAGGCCATGCGCGGGACGAAAAATTTTGATCCACCAAAAAGGCGCCTAAAGCTCACGCCCAATCTTGGGCTAAATTCGCTGGACCTGAGACTCACTTCTCTGCGTTAGGGTTCTTTCATTTTCCAATCGGCCGCCAGCCCGCACCCCGCCGCAACTGGTTCCGGCGCCGCGCTTCCGTCTGAGTGGCCTGTCCATTGGTCCTCCTTCTCCACTCTGTGAAGCTGTGCCCCTACTCTCCACGAAGGTGAAAAGACTAGAGATTGGGAGCGAGCCTGTCTGCCGCGCACCGCCCGTCGCAGCCGCGGCGAGCAACCTGTGCTGCACCGGCGCCGGCTGCAGTGACGCCTCTCCAACCTCCGACCGTGCCATCCCCAAGTTACTACTACATTCTCCCCCTTTGACAGGGATTTAAAGTTTTTAGACCGATATGCATTTCCTTTCTTGGAAATTTTCAATGTGCGTGCATCGGTAGCTTATCTGCTCATGGAGTCGCAGCTTTCACTTGCTCGCACAAGCAAGGGCAAAGTGCTAGCATTTTGTCATTCATGTTACAGAATACTCCGAGCAGCAGTTTAGTATGCTTTTGTGAAATGTCCTATCATGATGCTGTGGATCCATCTTTTAATAATTTCTGCTTTCATGCTTTTAGTAATTATTTATTCAATACTTGCTAGCTTCTTAGATTAACTTTTTGTGCATGGTTGAAATGGGACAAAACAAATGGCAGACTTTTCACATTTTATTTATGACATCTGTTTCAGTTCTACTCAGTCCGTGTATACGACTTAGTGCTTGATTGTTTCACTAGTGTCATGGTATGTCAGCCCGTTTATTTAATTCAAGCTAACTGGACACTACTATATATAAAGTTAATTTTCAATCAAGCAAAACAATAACAGTGATTTTCCCTCCTAAATGTTAGGAAAAATAAATTATCATACATGTTAATTTTATATCTTATTTAATGTAAAGAACCTTTTGGACTATTTTTGTTCATATATATGTGTCATGCTCTAGACCATCCTATCTGAACCATAGCACTTTACTTGTTCTCAAGCTCCAAGTTCAAATAACATTACAAATATGCACTTTAGTCAAATTGTTACTATTCGGTTATACTTAATTCTTATTTATGAATTATCCTATGCTTTATTCTTATTTTCCTATTGGTGCTATACTTTATTTAGATTGTGCTACCATGGCGGTGGATAATTGGACCATAAATCTAGAATGCGATGGGAAAGCTGAAGGACATAAACATGCGCAAAGGGAAATGGATAGAGATGAGATATGCTTTTTTGACTTGATTGATCTGATCGAGGGTTCTGGGTACACATCAATCGACTATCTATACTATAAGAGAAAATATAACTTGGTTGTAACACAACAAGATTCTGATGTGATGGAAATGCTCAACGACTGTGAGAGCGAAAAGATAGTTAATTTGTTTGTGACGAGGCCGAGACTGGCCACTTTAGCGCCTACCAAGTCCAACAAAGAACCATCCAAATCTAAAAAAAATAAAGGTATTAGAATGAACATATAATTTACTTTTCTATGTATATTTGATTATTCAAGGACAACTATTCCAAGTCATGTTAGTTATCAATGATTTATTTTCATCCAAGATTAGTATATCCAACCCCATACGTGCCTTAATAAATACAATCTTGATAGTCTAATACAAATATCTAGTTGTTTAATAAAAAAAGATTACATATTGTTTATTATATTTACTATAAACATGTGTTCATGTCCCCAACATTTGTTTAGCAGGAAGAGGAGGTACAAAGAAAAAGAAAGGATTAAATGTAGTGCATACTGAAGCACTATATGCTAACGAGGTTGAGCAGCATGATGATGAGAGTTAGAACACATTAGGTACAAATGTAGTTAGATCAATCTCATTCATATTGACTGCATTTTAACCAATTACTATCACTATCATTTTGTTTTTAATAGGTGATGGCGATGAAGTACCTGGTAAACGAAAGGGGATCGTTTTAACACATGTTTGTGATCTACTTGGAGGAGATCGGATAGTAGTAAGATGTAATATGCTTGGACAACCCATTGGAAAAAGAAGGTGGCCTTTTAGGACAATTTTTGGGCACCATAGCAACAAATGGTGGTTACTGTCCTGTTGGTGCCAAAGATTGGAGAGAAGTTAAGAAAAACAATACAGAAATCATAATTCAATTCATCCAGGTTAGCTAAATTTTACAAGACATAATGTTTTTATAAGATTAAGTATATATATGCTTGTTATCATATCATGAAGTCAAATTCATTCATTAGTGACTTTCTTATTTTAGACAAAGTTTGTATATCCTCATTCATGTGAGAAATGGATATTGAAATCAATTGGAAGAGATTGGAGAAAATACAAGGCAACATTAAAAAAGTCACTATTTAATCCAAAGAAGAAAAAGTCTGTTTTGAACGAGCGTTGTCCAGATGATATTGATGAAGATCAATGGAAGACCCTAGTAAAATATTGGAAGTCAAGTGAAGGACAAGTAAGGCACCATTATTGACGCCATTTGGCTTTTTTTACTATCACTATCTATACCATTATTGATTTTTATATGTATAATGGTTCATTATCTATTAATTTACTTTTCTTGTAGACCCTAAGTGAGAAGAACAAAATAAGTTGTCAAATGAAGAAGACAACACATACATCCGATACAAAGAGTTATGCCCGTTGGTCTGAGGACATGGTGAGTCATCTTCTGTTTAAAAAAATTATATATGATTCTTCTTACTTTTCCTTTACTGCTATTTTTTTAGAGGCAAACTGATCCTAAAAAAAATAGCCACATAGAGCAAAGGTTTACCTCGCAACTCACATGAAAAGGGAAAAAGGGATAAATGAACCAATGGTATGCTACATGCACATGAGAATTTTTGCAAATATAAAATTATTTCTGTTTTGTAATGTGTGGATTTCTTGCTTGTAGGTTGAACTAGAAAATCTCCTAGACACAACCAGAGTTAGCACAAAATAGTGAGGAAGGAGTTGCATGGGAAGGTGATGCATTACATCGGGTGTTGGGAGAAGAGAAAGTTGGACAAGTGCACGGCATGGGATTGGTTCCAGTTCCTAAACAAGTTTATGGTCGAAGAACACACTATTTTAAGGACATTAATATAGTTTCACTAGATGGCTCATCATCTGATGTAGAGACTCACATGTTGGAGGAAATAAGGCAACTCAAAGAGCATTCTAGAATGCAAGATAAAGTTATTGAAGAACTAAAAAACAATCAAAGGCACCATGAGAACCAAGAAGCAACAATGGTAACAATGTACATTTTAATTTGTAACTTCGTATTGAAATGTGTTATTCAAACTTTATTTCTTTTCTAGGAAAATTGTGCTAGGAGTGATCATAACAATTCTCAGAATCAAGCGGTGTTTTCTAAAAGAAAGGTATTTGCTCAGTTTTCCATGTTGTCACCTAATTTAGTCTTTTGGCTTTAATATTGTTTCAAATTTTTAGAGAGTTCACTGTGTTGCACCCAACCAGAATGATGGATTCCTTGAACACAGGGATGAATTGGTAAAGTCACTTTCTTGTGAATTTAATACTATTTTATTCACAAAGGATTTTTTTATATTAACTCATGCTACTGTCTTTTTTCTCTTTACTAGAATAAAGAAACATGTCAGTCTGAATATAGTGACGATGACAGTCTACTTTTATCCACCACAAGTAAAACAACAAAGAAACAAAAGGTATCTATGAACCACACTTTGCTGTATTTATAGAGGAATTTTTGTCTTAACATTTCATACTTCATTTTATATGTGTAAGGGTCATCATGGAGGGCCTGGAGAGACTACGATCATTGCACACCAGGAGGTGGCTCATGACAAGGTTACATGCAACAAGCGTCAAGCACCTAAACAACTTCCTGTAATGAAGGTAGATGAACATAATACACTTGTTCTAATTGCATGATCTTGATGTACAACTAAGGGTTGTTGATCACTATGAGAATATGTCAAATTAATGTAGGTTGGGTCCATTGTGATACTAATGACTTCAAAATATCCTAATAAGGCTAATGTGGCCTATGCAACTCTCTTGAGCACTGATCCAGAAGCCATTGTTGGAGTTAAGACAGGAAGTCAATTCTACAAAGTGCGTATCGATCATGCTATAGCAAAAGATGAGCCATTAGTGAGGCCGAGGCCTGGGTGCAACAATATTGGTGATGCTCAAGCCAAAGGAGTCTCAGTTGCTTGGCCTTCGATGTTTGTATGTTCAAACTAGCTTTCTTAACTTACATCATTGTACATATGTGGCCTAATTTGTAATCTTACAACTTATATTTTCTTTGCAGGTTCAAATGATTAATGGTTGAATTCCTACATCGATGTGTACAAAGAATAATGGAAGAAGAAGAAGCAATGGACTTATGAATTCTAGCTAGTTCTTGAATTTTTCTTTCTAGTATGGACTATGTGTGTTTGCTCTCTAGAGCCATATCATTATGTACAAATACTATGATTTAATATGAACAAGCACTATGTTTGAAATCATCCTACTATACGTGGATCTTGTTATGATTATTGAAATTTGTGGTTTATGTGATTTTGCAATGTGTCATGTTTGTGTGATTCTATAATAATATGTGTGCCACATATATAGGCGAAACAAATATTTGTTTCCTAATCTGGATATGTTATAATAGATATAAACAAGTGTTACAAACCATGTGTTCCTTTGTTCCATACTGTGCTTTACCATAACGTAGAAGTGTTATTAGAACTAAAAAAAAGTGTTACAGTAGACAAACACTATAACACTAGGCAAATGTTGCCATAGATAAATAAATGTGTTACAAACTATGTATTCCACCATAATGTGAAGTGTTACTAGAGGGAAAAAAAGTGTTACAACAAAAATTATTGTAACACTAGACAAATGTTGCTATAGACAAGTAGATGTGTTACAATAAACCAATCTATAGTAACATGGCCAATTGAAACAAAAAAAATATGTTACTAAGAGAGCTTGTAAAACTTTTTTCAACCTACAGTAACACAAGTTGGTGTTACTGTATCCCTATGCTGTTGTAGTGGCACCTCGATCTCAAAGTTGAGTGCCGACAGCGACGTCATGCTGGCAATTCGGAACCTGTAGGTCTTGCCGGGCACGACGGCGAACACCAGCGTGGTGCACTCCCGGAGCGTGGCGTTGCAGGCCCCCACCGCCATGGTCGAGCAGTTGACGAACCTTCCGCGGCCGCTGATGAGCAGCGACTGTGGCTCCCCGACCCAGCCGAACGGCACGGACGCGAGCCCCGTGGCCTGCTCGTAGGTGCTCTTGTGCCACCAGTCGTTGAGCAGCACGTGGTGCTCGCCGTCGTACCTGAAGGGCTCGGCGTCGGGCCCGCCGCCGGGCGCCGCGGCCACGACGATGAGGCCGTTGAGCCCCGCCGAGCGCTGCATCCCGTAGTGCGCGTGGTACATGTAGGTGCCCGGACGGTCGACGACGAAGGTATAGGTGAAGGTGTCCCCGGGGAGGATGGGGCACTGCGTCACGCCCTCCGTGCCGTCTGCCCACGGTGTGCCGATCTGCCGGATGCCGTGCCAGTGGATGGCCACGTACTCGGTGAGCAGGGAGTTCTTCACCCTCACCACCACGGTGTCGCCCTGCGTGGCGCGGATGGTCGGCCCCGGCGTCTGCCCGTTGATGGTCACCGCCAGCTTGCGCACGCAGTCGGGGCTCTTGAACTGGTAGCTGATCTCCCACCGTGGCGGCGCGCGCGAGCCCTGCCAGCGTCAGGGACAGGAAGAGGCAGCAGAGGAGCCGCGGTCGCCAGCCCATGGTGGCCGGATCGGCTCACCAGAGCAGGGGCTCGATCGGCGCTCCTTTAGCTGGCTACTCCTGAACGCAGCTGCAAAGTACTATAGCTGCTGTGTGTCGAGGTGCTCCTGTGCTGTGTGCCTGTGTTGCATTGCATATATATACACACACACAGAGTAGTAGCGAGATGAGATCAATATCGAAGCATATTTTATTGCGTCAAATATTATCAAATGATATACGCGCTTAGCTTCGCGCTCCCACCAAACGGTTTTGTCACTTTCTGGCTCGGTATACTGCAGGAACCACACACACAAGTATTTGTTCAATTCTAGTGGACCATATCTTTAGAGACAAATCAAAAGGCAACATGCATGTGTTTATATCAGTTAGAAACGATAGGCAATATAAACGACGAAGAACAATAGATCAAATACAGGGGATATGAGATTTTAACGTGGAAAACCCTTTTAAGGAAGAAGGAAAAAAAACCACGGGCACCAGCTAGCAAATCTTCACTATATTAAACCGCTTCGGCCCAAGCCTTCCGGCGACGGGCCTTGCTTCGCTCCGGCAGAAGTTAGTATTTATCTTGTACATAACTGAATTTGGATCACAACTCAATAAACTACACCTTTAGACAAAATTCCTTCTTGTAGCATAAAACGAACTTTTACCCTGAAACAACAAAGAAATACTTCCAGTGCCAAATAGCCTCTTGGGCTAAACAGTTATACCAACTAAGCTTGAGCAAAGCTCAAACTTAGCAACAGGAACTGGCTTTGTCAACATATCAGCAGGATTATCATGTGTGCTTATCTTGCATACCTTCAGCTTACCTTGCGCGACAACATCGCGAACATAATGATATTTGACATCAATGTGCTTCATTCTCTTATGGAACATCTGATCTTTAGTGAGACATATAGCACTTTCACTGTCACAAAACAATTTAATACAAGAATCATCTCCACAAAGCTCAGCAAACAAACCTTTCAACCAAACCGATTATTTGCATGCTTCAGCAACAATCATGTATTCTGCTTCAGTGCTAGACAGGGCAACAACGGGCTGCAATGTTGCCCTCCAACTCACAGCACAACCACCAATAGTGAACACATAACCTGTGAGAGATCTCCTCTTATCCAAATCAGCAGCAAAGTCTGAATCCACGTAGCCAGTGAGTCCTTTATCAGTCTTGCCAAACTTCAAACAAGCATCTGTTGTGCCACGAAGGTACCTGAAAATCTACTGAACAGCCTTCCAATGTTCTTTACCAGGATTGGCCATGTATCTACATACCAAACTCATAGCATATGATAAATCAGAACGAGAGCAAACTATGGCATACATCAAAGAACCAACAGCACTAGAATATGGAACTCTTGACATGTACTCAAAATCCTCATCCGTACTAGCACATTGTAAAGTTGATAATTTAAAATGAGGAGCAATAGGAGTACTAACAGACTTTGCATCATGCATGTTGAAACGATGAAGAACTTTCTTAATGTAACTTTGCTGACTAAGAAATAACAAACCAGAATTTCTGTCTCTTGTAATCTCTATACCTAGAATTTTCTTAGCAGCATCAAGATCCTTTATCTCAAACTCACTACTCAACAGTTTCTTCAACGTAGTGATTTCTTTCTTGCTCTTGGCAGCAATCAACATATCATCAACATATAACATCAAGTATATAGGTGATATATCAACAAATTTAATGTACACACAGCTATCAAATTCAAACCTCTTAAAACCATGTGACATCATAAAAGAATCAAACCTTTTATACCATTGACGAGGAGACTGTTTCAAACCATATAAGGACCTCTTTAATTTACAAACATGATCCTCCTTACCAGGTACTATGAACCCTTCTGGCTGGTCCATGTATATCTCCTCCTCAAGCTCTCCATGTAGAAACACAGTCTTTACATCTAACTGCTCAAGCTCAAGATCTCGCATAGCAACAATACCGAAAAACGTACGAATTAAACTATGCTTTACAACTAGAGAGAACACATCATTATAATCAACACCAGGAATTTGACTGAAGGCTTTTGCTACTAACCTTGCCTTAAATCTTAGAGGCTCACTAGGAGACAAACCCTCCTTTCTCTTGAAGATCCATTTGCAACAAACGGCCTTCTTTTGTTTAGGCAAGCGCACAACATCCCATGTGCCATTTTTTGAGTGACTGCATCTCCTCTTGCATAGCGGAAATCCACTTCTCACGGTCACCAGAAACAACAGCTTCAGTGTACGTAGCCGGCTCATGAATGTTCTCCACCTATTCAGCACAACTAAAGGTATAATGAACAATATCACATTCCTCAATTAAACGTGAAAGAGGTCCACAATTCCTCTTTGTTCTATGATTTGCAATAGACTGATTTTGAGGCTACAAAATAGGAGGTGAGTGCTGAACAATATCATAAACATTGTTATCAATAATTTCAGTTTTCTGATCATCTACGTGCTCCACCTACACGCTAACATGTTGCTGCTCCTCATCAGAACCAACTGGAGAAATATTTGTGGACAAGCTGTCATTAAACATAACAGATTTATTGAAAACAACGCTCCTGCTCATGAAAATCTTTTTAGTTTCAGGATTCCATAACTTATATCCTTTAACTCTAGAACCATAACCAAGAAACAGACACTTAATGGCTCTAGGTTCTAGCTTTCCATTATCAACATGAGCATAAGCAGTGTAACTGAAAACTCTCAACTGTAAATAATCAGTAGGCATACCAGACCATACCTCAATGGAAGTTTTCTTATTAAGTGAGATAGAAGGTGACTGGTTGATCAAGTAACAGGCGGTGTTAGCAGCCTCAGCCCAAAAACATCTGTTCATACGAGCATTGGACAGCATGTAGCGAGCCCTCGAGATGATGGTTCAGTTCAAGCGCTCAGTCGCACTATTCTGCTGAGGAGTGTACGGGATGGTGTGGTGCCTGACAATGCCTTCTTCCCTGCAGTAATCATTAAAAGCATCCGAACAGAATTCACCGCCATTGTTAGTACGAAGCAATTTTACCTTCTTTTCAGTTTGCCTTTCTATCATAACTTTCAACTCCTTAAAAACAGCAAAAGTATTATCTTTATTTTTCAGAAAATAAGGCCACACTTTTCTAGAGTAATCATCAAGAATGGTAAGCATGTAACGAGCACCACCATAAGAGGGCTTACAAGACGGCCCCCACAAATCAGCATGTACATAATCAAGTGTACCTTTGGTGGTATGAACAGATGCATTGAATTTTACCCTCTTGTGGTTACCAAAAACACAGTGCTCACAGAACTTCATCTTAGCCACAGTGCAGCCATCCAACAGGTCTCTCTTGATCAATTCTACCATACCAAGTTCACTCATATGTCCAAGATGCATATGTCAGAGATTAGTTTTACTTGGTTCATCATTAGAAACAACAGCAATAGTGACGGAACCATGTAAAGTACTTCCTCTAAGAACATATAACTTTGCAGAATTAATATCACCTATCATATGAATGAGAGAGCCTTTTGATACCTTACACACTCCATCTGAACCGAAGTGTCTGTACCCCTTGGCATCAAGTGTGCTGAGGGAGATTAGATTTCTGGCCATCCCTGGTATGTGTCTCACATCTTTCAGTGTGCGTATCATGCCATCATGCATCTTGATATGAACAGAGCCAATGCCCACGATCTCACGTGGGTTGTTATCTCCCATACGCACGACATCTCCACTCTGCACAGAATCGTAAGAACTGAACCAATCTCTGTTAGAGCATATATGAAATGAGCATGCATAATCAAGTATCCATTCATCACGACCAGCAACACAACCAGCAAAAACAACAAGAACGTCTCCTGAATCAGAACCATCAGCAGTAGTGAAGACAACAGAGGCCTTACCATCACCATCGGATTTATTTTTTGGTTTATATGTACCATTTCTTTTCTCCTTATTCTGCAGCTTCCAACAATCCTCAATGACATGAGTATCTTTCTTACAATACCAGCAGAACTTATCACTGCCTCTGGACTTCGAACGACCTTTACCGTTTTTGCTCTTGTCTCGAATATTGTTGTTGTTGTAGGTTTTCTGCTCAGGCCTGCCTCTAACCCGCAACACTTCACCCTTGGAGGATGACACATCAGATTGAACCATACCTTTCATCTTCTCCCTCGACTGGAGGGCCTCATATACTTTCGTAAGGGTTAGTTCATCACGGCTTAATAGTATGGTATCTCGGAAATTTGCAAACAAACTAGGCAATGAGCATAACAGTAGAAGAGCAAAATGTTCATCATCATATTTTACCTCCATCGACACTAGGTCGGCAACAATCTCCTTAAAGATCGATAAGTGGTTCATCACCGAACCACCTTCTTGCAGCTTGTGCATGAACAACTTCATCTTCACGTGCATCTTACTGGTTAGATCCTTAGACATGCAGATCGATTCTAGCTTGAGCCAAAGTTCTACGATAGTTTTCTCCTGCAGCACTTCTTGCAAAATATCATTATGTAGATGAAGTTGAATCAGAGACAGAGCCTTACGATCCTTCCGCTTCTCTTCAGCGGTCCATGACTTATGCCCTTTGCCTCCGAAACCATCCAACGCCTCATCAAGATCCGAAGATTGTGCCAGAATCGCCCGCATCTTGACTTGCCACAGCGCAAATCTCATCTTGTAATCCAGCAGCGGTAGATCAAGATCGATGCCATCGCGAAGCCCTAATGTGAAATCAAGCTCTGGTACCACTTGTTAGAAACGACAGGCAATATAAACGACGAAGAACAGTAGATCAAACACAGGGGACACGAGATTTTAACGTGGAAAACCCTTCCAAGGAAGAAGGAAAAAAACCACGGGCACCAGCCAGCAAATCTTCACTATATCGGGTGAGGTTACAAACGTCGGGGATTTATAACTTTTCTTATCCCAAGGCGACGGCTTACAGGAAGTATATATATATATGGAAAACTCTAATAGGCGACGATCCATACCGCTTCGCTTCGGCCCAACCCTCCCGGCGACGGGCCTCGCTTCACTCCGGCAGAAGTTAGCCTTTATCTTGTACATAACTGAATTTAGATCACAACTCAACAATATCGAGACATCTTTAGAAACAAATTGAAGCCCCCTCGGACTCGATGTCACCGAGACCCAGGGCTGGGCAACAACAGAGCTGGGCAGAGCAAGGCTCACATAGAGTCCATCACATTTTAAAGTACTTCCTCCGTTTTTTGAAGGATTGACCCTAACATGGTCTCCTCTTCTTCGAACAAAGCCAATTTTGAAGTACTTCCTCGGTTTTTTTGTCATATATACTGAGTTTGACCTAAGTCAAATATTTTTTAACTTTGATCATCAATTTCCAAAAATTCGTATAGGCTAACAATATACTCCTTCCATCCATAAATAACTGTCAGTTTTCGTTTCAGGAGAAACAACTTTAACTAAACATATATAAAAAATAATAATATTTATGGTACAAAATTAATATTATTATACGGATCATTGAATCTATTTTCATATAATAAATTTATTTGGAGATACAAATGTTGCACGTATTTTCTACAAATCTAGTCAAATTCATGACATGCAAACCAAAAGTGACAGTTATTCAAGGACAGAGGGAGTAAGATTTATGTTTCTAGATTAACTATGAGAAATACTTTCATAATATATAGTTTAGATGTTGTGAAACTACATGGATTTTTTGAAATTAATGGTCAATGTTAGAAATATTTGATTTAGGACAAACCTAATATGATAAGTAAAAAAAAGAGTAGTTTCTGTTTGACAATACGCACAAATATCTAGGTGCTCCTGTGTTGTGTGCCTGTGTTGCATTGGATATATATCACGAAGCATATTTTATTGCGCCTAATGGCCCCGTTCGCTGGTCTGAAACTTGGCTGAAACTGGCTGAAAACACTGTTCTAGCTGAATTGTTGTGAGAGAAAAATACTGTTCGGCTGAAAAAAACGAGCCGAACAAGCCGAATATGGTGTAAGCCAAACGAGGCCAATATATCAAATGATCTACGCGTTCCCACCAAAACGGCTCTCACTTTCTGGCTTGGTATACTGCAGGAACCACACATGCAAGTACTTGTTCAATCCTACTGCTATAGTGGATCATATCTTGAGACAAATCAAAAGCAGAATGTGTTTATTATATTAAGAAACCCCCTGGACGTGATGTCACCCAGACCCAGGGCCGCATCAACACGTCACCTTTTAATCGGAAAAGGATTGACCATAGCATGGTCTCCTCTTCTTCGAACAAAGCCATTTTTGAAGTACCCCTCCGTTTTTTATGTCATATATTGATTTTGATCTAAGTCAAATACTTTTAACTTTGATCATTTCAAAAAAAAAAATCGTATACGTTAATAACATAAGATTTATATTTCTAGATTCGCTATGAGAAAATACTTTTATAATATATAGTTTACATGTTGTGAAACTATATGGATTTTTTGGAATTAATGGTCAATGTTAGAAATGTTTGATTTAGAATAAACCTAATGCCAAAAGTAAGGGCCTGTTTAGTTTCCCCCTGCTAAAGTTTAGTCGCTTTAGCTACTAAACTGCCAAACAAACTGACTAAAAAGGGACAAAGTAGTTTAGTCACATTAATACCTCAAGAGGTGCTAAAGTAGGCTAAACTGCCCAGTGGACAGGGGTTGTCGCCTCATTATTGCTGGTCCCCCAGCCTGATTTGAGGATTCATTAGGGCTAGTTTGGTCTTTGTTGAACTGCTTTAATAGTCTTTAGTCACTAGAACCAAATGAAGATGACTAAAGTTTAGTCATTGGTTTTAGTAGCTAAATTTTAGTCATAGAAAACCAAACAGGCGCTTAAAAAAGAAGGGATGGTTTCTGTTTGACAATACGCACAAATATCTATGGTTTCTTGCTTAGATACATAGAGCCTAGAGGAACGAAAACATGCTTGTGGTCATTCAAAGTCAAACCTACGTTGTACGTGTTATTACTAGTCAATCCCCTTCTGCAGAAATAGGGGCCCAGGGGTGCACAACTGTGGTGTGGAGAGTACGTATCTGCATCTCGGTACCTTTGCTCTGACCAATCAATTTGCCGGAAATTTAGACACTTACGGGCATACATGATGACGAGCTTGCACATTGCTCGCACATCAATGGATACGATTGCGCTAGCGAATGCGTACCCGTATGCATAATGCGCATCCAAATTTCTGGTTGGACAAGAAAATTAGTTGAGCCGTCCCTCCCTTTTACCATTAGCTAAAATTAAAAACACATCGTAGACGCTGCTGAGCCATCCAATTATCATGCTTTACAGCTGCTAATAAATAATAATCCAGAGAGTTTCAATATGCATGCAATGGAATTTCTAGAAAAGCTAGCCAGCTCTGCTTATGACCCCTTTCTGGAGCGACTGTGATACCGTGACCCGTCGGGCATATATCAAGCGCGTGCGCGTGATCCCACTCTGCGGTTTGCGGGCGACGCATGTCCAGGAAAATACGGTCCAAAGAAGAGTGTGGACGCAAATGTCGTTTTCTATGTGATGGCAGTCTAACGCAAGCTACCAAGAACACAAAATATTTAATTTGGATTATTATAACTTTTGAATGATGAATCCGTTTTAATTACGTTTGCACCGGTGTATTCTATGTAGCAAGCACTACCCCAGTTTTCGACATCACTGTTGGTTCAAAATCCCCCTTCACTGCCGGATTTTGAACCGGCAGTGGCATACCAACAGTGATGCTCGAAGGCTACTGCTGCCGGTACTTCACCCGGCGGTGATAAAGTTTAGAAAAACAAAAAAAAAGTAATCCAACAAGCATGCTGGCTGGAGCATGCTCATTACTGCCACTGCTGCCACTACATCAAACATTTCATCAAAGAAAAAAATTCATACATCACAGACAAATGACGGATTCAACACATCAGAAAAACTCATCCACAAACCGATTCGTGCATCACAGACGAAGGAGAAGGGTTCAACACATCACAATTCAACCCATCCACAAATCGATTCATACATCACAGACAAAGGAGCAGGGTTCAACACAAACAAAATAACTCATCTACAAATTGATTCACACACCATAGAGGGAGGGGAGGGGAGGCCAGGAGGGGGACATTGGGGATGTCGCCGGGCAGGCCAAGTCGCCGCAGACAGCAGGAGGGGTAGGCCACAGTTCCGCTGCAGGTCTGACACAACTCCTCTGCAGGTCCGGCGCAGGTCCACTGCAGCTCCTCTCCACACCACAGATGTAGCGCCCCCTTGAGCCCCCTTCAGCACCTAGAAACCACGCACGGTGAGCCGCGCGGAGAGGCATGCCATCAGGAAGGCGCAATCTACGGACGGATGCGCGTCCACGGCGAGGAAAGACAGGAACCAAAAAATATAAGGAAAGCAGAAGAAATCACCAAAATGTCAGACGCGTATATGGAACGACAAATGCGACATCGGCATTGTTCAAGAACGATACCAGCCCAAATGCAGGGACGAAGAGGCGGGTGCAGCTCCCGCTGCAGGTCTGGCGTAGTTCCTCAGCCGGTCGAGCACCGGCGCACCGCAGGCGGACACCAGATTGGCCCCCGAGCACCTACAAAGGCCAGGTGCTGTGCCGGTAGGCGAGGCACGACCGACGGACGGTGAAACGAAGAAAAAAGGAGGACAGGAAGAGCCCTGGCGTCCTACCTCGTGCAGCGGTTAGGACGGAGCTGAAGACAAAGGGAGGCGTGAGCGACCTTTTTACCCACGCCGCCCTCGGTGCCCTCGGCGCAGATAGAGTTGGGACGCGTGCGGAGTTAACTGGGATGGATAAAATTTTCGGGTCCGGAGTATGGATTAGTGCCGGTTTGTAATTCAACCGACAGTAAATAGACAGTACTGTCTGTTTGTATTAAAACCGGCAGTGATGTTGTTCTTTAATGTCGGTTTTAGCCTAGCCTCAATCATTTTCTCGTTTTCAAGCTCGGAAGCGTACATCACTGCCGGTTCTCACGAATCCGACAATGATGAGGCCGGCGGTGATGTCCAAATCTATAGTAGTGAAGCTGAACAAAACTAAACCTTACTTGCAAAAGTTTGAAGAATTTTATTCTAGTAGTAATTTATGTGTAAATATGCATACTAAAGTTGCAACTACAAAAATAACTAAAGTTGTTATGTAGTATGCATATCACTTGTCATCATGGGAATATAATAAAACTGTAACATAGTATTTACATAACCTTTATGAGGTACTAGCCCTATATTAGAGAATTCTGAGAGCAAATTACTTGGATCGAGTTGCTAGGGAGAGTTTATTGCAACTTATATATTGTAAAATGAGTAATACTTCATATAGAAACAATGGAGAAACTCATAGTAATAATTTTGCAATCATTTGGAAGTATATAAATTATACAATATAAAAATTTATGTAGCAATGATAATGTATCAACTTGTGTAGATGATGTAGCAACTTATAATAAATTCCTAGTAGCAAGTTTATATAGATATTTTATAACAACAAGTTTCAAACTATGAATGAACCTCCGCAGCTAGCAATCGTAGATCATACCAAAGAGCAAACTGAAGGTGCAGGCAAACTACAATCACGACCCATGCAACGTCCATGAATCAAACATGCTGCAAACTAGGGGGCAGACAATAGTCCTAACCCATTAAGCAA